GCCACTGAGGTTTACCAAGCTCCAATGAGTCATCGAGCACCTGGGTCATCTTGTCAAACATTTGCTCCTCCATGTCCGCCAAATTACCCGCAATTTCCCGCTTAACACGCATTACTTCGCTAATCCCCATGTCGTACTCGTTGTCGACACCATTTTCCCGCAAAGTGTCCCGAAACAGCTCCCGAACCCTTCCCTCCGTATTGATCGGGTATTGAATTTGTTGACGCAATTTGTGTAACATCTCAACGATCTTATCCCTGTCCACACCAGCCTCGCGCTTAGCCTTTTCCAGGCACCGGTAGACTGAATCTACGATTATAACCACGGCTTGGAGTTTCAGTAATTCCCGCAATCGGGAGAAAACGGGAAAATATTCCCCGATTTCGTCGTAGCATTCTGTGAATAGGTCGGCAAACCTTTGTTCCCGACTCGCATGCCGGTGCTCATCGGCAACGTCTTCCATATCGCACGACATACCTGTCCTCACACGCATAGGGCAGTCGTGAAAATCGACGACCCGTCGACCCCCGGGCTGTAGGCACTCGCTATACCATAGATCCTCGGCCTCTATCCAGAAGCTAACCGTCTGTCCAAACGCCGACTCCGGACTCCTTTCCAGCACCAGATCCTCCCGGAGCTCATCAGGCAATACGTTTAAGAACCCATCCCTAGCCTCCCGGGTAGGGAACGGCTTATTAGCCGATACCTCTGTAGCCATTGTAAGCATTTTTAGCATATAGTCTGCGTGCAGTAGAGTGGCCAGGTAGTTTTTGGTTTTATTAATTGCGGTAGGTGTGTATTGCATTTGCTGGAACGGAAGGTGCTCAAACATACTGTCCCCCACCTGGTCTAAACTGAACACACTATGGGTTATGCCGTTTGTGAGCACCTCCTCAATGTCTGTAGTGTTAATAAGAGCTGGTAGGTCGGGATCGTTAGATAATTGTAGCTCGAAAGTACCTTGCTCGACATCTATAATAACCCCGGTAACTCCAGTGAATGTTTGGCCCGGTAGGTTGAGACTGGTGTTGTATCGGTCGATCCACCCGTTACTGTCCCGTCGGATACCTGTCCACCTCATTATGTTCTCAATACTATAGACATCCCGGCCCTTTTGTTTTAGCAGTGATTTCATACAGTTTTCACGGTATTCCCCAAACTTAGACTCAGGGAACCAGCCTTTCCAACTGCCCTCAAATAAATAGTATTGACATTCATAGTACATGGGGTGACCAGGTGTACTTTGTACGCAATGTTCGTAGTAGTTTTGCAAAAATTTATGGTTGACCATATTGATAAATAGTATATCGGCACTGGTATGTAGTTCCATATTAATGATCGGGCATACTTTTACCGATTTACACAATAAGTTATTAATTAGTGTAAATAAATTTTGATCATTTTCATTTATTAAAAGTTGTTCACTTTGTGGTCGACTAATTTGGTCCAGATCATATTTGTCACGTTTAGTTAATTTAATTTGTTTGGCTAGAGTTATATGTGCACGGTTGATTAAATAAAAACTCAATTGACAATAGTTGGTCACGCTAATTGGATCCATATACACTCTGGCAAAATACAGTACAATCTCGGTTAATTCACAAATACAGTTCCGATATGCGTATAAATTAGCCAGGTAACTGTCCACTTCATCATCAGTATAATCAAGCATATATTGCAATAAATAATAGCTGGCCATGCTTAAACTATTTATAATCACAATTGGGTAACCACATTCAATTGTCAAGTCAATATAAAGCATAGCTTTATCCAGTGCACTTTTATTATCATGGTACTTCGTACTATGAATTACTTTCTCATATTCAATTAATGTGTTTAGCACCGTGTTGCTTTTAAGCATATCCACGTACTTATGAGCACCGGGAGCGTGTAAGTCCTCAATCCGGATAAAACTTAACAAATGTTCAATGGCTGAATTAGCGTGATTGTCCTTGAGTAAATAAATTATGGCATCAAAACAATCGGTAACGGGATATATGAACAGCGCCTCCCGTAAACTCTCATATGAGTTATGGTAATCCTGTTCGTACAGTAGGGCACACCCTTTGAGCACCAGTAGCATAGCTCGTAAATTATCACCCATGTCATCCAACTGTCTATTGCCGCTCAACTCCATATATAGCCCGTTAATAGCCTTAGAGCACCGGTACCTTTGCATGTATATCGCGCTGTCCTTAAACCGGAAGTTGAATACCAGTGCCCGGAGTTCCTCGTAGTTCTGGTCATCGCATTTGAAATAAATTACGTCAACTAACTGTCCATTTTTGGCGCGAATTAATTGTGCAAGCTCACTATTTTCATTCAACATGGCACGGCACTCGAAGTACAAGTTCCTTGCTGCTAATTGTTCAAACATTAATTGTTGTATTTCTAATTCATCGCGGTAATAATATGCTGCACACACTATGGGTCCAAATAAGTCGCTAAATTTAGTATTACCATTGTCATTTTTAGTCGTGGCGTTAATAATAGTAGCCAGAGCAATTTTCAAAATCATATGTACCGCTTCGGGGCAATATTTATTGACATTAAGTACGTATCGACAATATAGTAGGCATTCATCGTATTTGCGAAAATAAAACAATTTATGAGCACGCTCTAATATCACAGTGTTTAGGTTGCCAGGTTTCACATAGCATATTAGTGCTTGCTCATATTTTTGGTGGTTAAAATATTTATTTCCAACCGTTTCCCAGTCACTGGTGAATACCCGAAACTCGGTAAATATATACTTTCCCGAGTACAGGGGTTTCATATCCCATATATGATCCGGGATCAGTTTTTTGAGCTGGTTAGTAATTGTATCTTGCTTGTTTTGGTCCAAAAACTCTGTATACACATTAGTGTAGCCATTGTATGTGGTATTATTATTGTCATTATTTATGGCCATAATTTTATTTAACTTATCACGTAGGTCACTCCATTGTAGATTAATAAACTCTGAATTGTCCTTGATACTTATGTTTGTATACTCTTTGACCCAACCATCAATTTTCTTAACATAATGTTCCGATAATTTTTGGTCAGAATGTACACGTAATTTATTATCAATAACAGTCTCATTATTTCCAGGCACATTAGTATCAGGCTCATATTTATTAATCACATGTGGGTCATGTAGTGAAGCATCCGGGTGGGCTAGTAGTTTTAGGAGGTGCTCATTGCCAGGTGTTATGTCAGTTTGGCTGACCCGAGACAGTTGGCGACTAAACGTCCGTTTTATGCCATCTCTGGTGGACTTCCTATGATTGCCGAGAAATTTGTTAAAATCCGACTCAAACTCCTTGTACGCCATTTGTAACCTGGTGGTTTTTAAAATAAATTAAATTAAATAATCATCTAAAGTTTTATTTATAATATAAAACCTAATTAATGATTTTAGGGGACAATATTATAATTATACTTACTGTTATAAACTAGATAAACTATTTTAAATATGTTATAAATAAATTATATATTATTACAATTATTTTAAATGACTTAATGCTATATTAACATTATTAATTTATTTATTTATAAATAAATAATATACCGTAAAAACTGTACTAAAATTAAATGGCGTTCCTATTTATTAATTTAAACTGTAAATTATTAATTTGGGAGTAATTAATATTAGTGAAACAACTATTTATAAAAACTTAAATATTGTTTTGCTTATAAAACATTGAAATGTTTTTAATTTTATGTGATTTCAAAATCATAGCTCAATACAGAATACATAAAAACAATAATAATCATTATTACATACATGTGGTTGTCATGTAACCCATAGTAATACAAGTGTTTATTAATTGTATTGCAATCGCTATATGACTAATGAATAGATATCATGGGTTTCATAGATAACAATAACTTTGAAGTTTATAAACTAAACTAAAATAATATTTTATTTAACTAATGCTATGTGTAGTATGTTTTATTAATTATGTAAATAGTTATATAATTGTGTACAATATATTATATAAGTATTTTGTATATGCTTAATAAAATAATCTGTATTAAAAACCTTTTGAAAATATTTTTAATTTTTTGTTACTATTAGATGTTTGATATTTAAAAAATTATATTATTCTGTATTATAATAAAATTTGATTAGTATTATAACGTATTATTTATGCAAAATTAATAGATAATTAATTATAATTAAACTCATTTTTAGTTACATTAAAGGTATACTATACAATATATTAATAAGCTAAAATTTATATTACCAATTATAAAGGTATTTACAAAACAAACAACATTTATAAAAATATATTGGTAATATTAATTTTTATAAATAGTATTTTATATATTTATAATACACTGTAGTCTTAAAAACTTATTATAAAATTAGTATTAAATACAAAAAATACAATTACTTACCAAACAAAATATAATTTTTAAAATATTATAAACACATATATATTTTCATAAACGAATAGACATTTTGTTATAAAAATAATTTTACTTTTACTTTACAATCAAATGTTTGCACAGAATATAAAACACAATAAAAAGTGAAATAAAAATCTACAAAAAATAAATGTCTTTTTGTATTACATTTCTCATTAGTATACGACTCGCGAGTCTCTAATAATATCGCGATTACTATAACAACAAAGTTTTTGTTATGAATTCACTCAATACATGTAAGCCACTCAATGCACTTGACATAATTACCCTGTACATTCCTTGACTTTTACTAACCTATACTGATAGCTCATGATTTATTTGTAATAGCTATTTCTATAACAATGTGTAAATTGTGTACATGATTAATTAATCCGGTTTATAAAACATATCTATTATAAAAAATGCTAAAAATTCACAGACGTAATTTACAAACAGTCCCTGTTAATTATAAGGCACATGTAGGTGAATGTGAAAAGTACTTTAATGTAGAAATGCTCTGATCAATGCCATTTACTAGTTTAAGTATAAATAGTGTGATTGACAATTTATTATAACATAGTTATTATAAATCTATTATAAAGTCATCAACCATTGTGAGCAAGGTAATTATGTATCATTTAAATTATATAACTTATTTATAATTTATATATAATACAGTCTGATTGTTAATGTTGTATTTTTAAAATACTGTAAATTTTTTTGTAATATTGTTAATATTATGTAGTTGTATAACAAATTAATTAATTGGATTAGATACTCTATTTGTAGTTAATGTTTACTAAATACTTTTTATTTAATTAAAAAGTTTAAGCAAACAATTTTTATTAATTTAATATTAAGTATTTGTCATGAAAAAGTTTTAAATTTAATTTTTTCTATGCATTATATTATAAGGAAATATATTGTATTTATATAAGTATATTATACTGGATGCCATCTACACATAACAAGTAATATTAATTTTAATATTTATATTTTCAGATATTAAATTATTCGCTAGCAAGTTATATTCCAGGTTCTATAGAACATTAATACTGTATAATAAAATAATCTAGATAATCATGCACAAATTTATTCATACTTATAATATTTTGCTCCCAATATTGTTAGGATTAACATATTTGAAAAATTATTAGAATTTATATTTTTTTAATATTAAAATAATTTTTCATCAAATGTTTGCTGTCTATTATACGGTATGTAATAAGTTTAGTTTGTTTAAGCAATCAAAACTCTTATGCATGCTCATATAAATACATCTAATATATAAATGTATAATATATTATATATTTATTTTCTAGAAACTGTAATACAAAACATAAAATAAAATAAAATACTAATTAAAATTAGTTTAATTTCTAAAGGATCATTTCGTAGACTTAACTTATAAAATATTTTATCAACCAAGTTCATTTTATTTCTATATTTATCAGATATAATGTCAGCCAAAACCTATAAGAAAGTATCGGTATTGAAATTATCTACCAGTGCTCGCGTTGCCGCACAGGTAGTAGAGGTGCCACTGAGGGAGCCGTCAGAAAATGAGATACTTGTGCGCAATCTGTACGCCGGTGTGAACGCCACGGATATGAACATAATTGCCGGTAGATACCTGACCGCTGACGGGAAACTACCCTTTGATATCGGACTAGAAGTTTGTATTTCACGACAAATATATTTTTGATAAATTTCTACATTGTTAATTTTACTTTTCAGGGCCTAGGCATGATAGAATCTTTTGGTAAAAATGTACAAGGTATTAATGGATTAACAGTTGGGCAAGTTGGTTTAGTATTTGCTGTACCGCCAAAAGCATACGCCGAGTATATTGTATGTACCTATTTAAGAGTAAAATAATATTTTCTAACAGGGTCGAAATGAGATAAATAATTTTAACTTGCGATACTGTAAACTTAGCATTATACTATGATAAAATTATCTTAAATTAAATTATAATTACTTTTAATTTATATTTCATAGTTTACCAAAATTATTTTTATTATATAAAGCTATATATTTAAATTATGAGATGTACATTTAATTTTAATTTTAACTCTCATTTACCCTGTTAATAGTACATTAGACCGGATGAATTCAAGCCACTACCCGGCAATAAACCGGAATACCTGGCACTACTAGATTGCGGACTCACTGCTACCATTGGCCTGGATCATGTAAATTAACACGATAAATTTTAACTTATTTAAATTTTAATAGCGGTTTTCAAATCCAAAAACAGGCTGGCCACATAGCGCATGGTGAAACTGTATTAATAACCGCTGCTGCCGGTGGCACAGGTATGTAGGGAAAAAATTAACAAGCATATCAACAGGTATATTCAACTATTTATCCAATTTGTTTTGCACCCAGGTCACATCGGTGTTCAATGGGCTAAACGGAAAGGCTGTCACGTGATTGGCTTATCGTCGGCACCGGCGAAGATACAGGTGCTGAAGGAGTTGGGCTGCGATCGTGTGATTAACTACAGGACCGAGAATTTGGATGAAGTCCTGAGCCGTGAATACAAAGTCTGTGTTCATTACTAACCGAAAAGCTTTGTTGAAATTATTGTTTTGTGTTTTTGCGACTCATTTAGTCGGGGATTGACGTGATTTGGGAGACAATCGGCGGTCAGACGTTTGAAACGCTGTTCAAACACCTGGCAGTCGGCGGTCGACTAGTAATCGTCGGTTCAATCAGTGGTTATAAGTATGAGAACAACGACTCACCCGTTGTTACCATTCCAGACATCAATATGAAGGTGTGTTTAAGTCTATCTATCTATCTATCTATCTATCTATCTATCTATCTATCTATCTATCTATCTATCTATCTATCTATCTATCTATCTATCTATCTATCTATCTATCTATCTATCTATCTATCTATCTATCTATCTATCTATCTATCTATCTATCTATCTATCTATCTATCTATCTATCTATCTATCTATCTATCTATCTATCTATCTATCTATCTATCTATCTATCTATCTATCTATCTATCTATCTATCTATCTATCTATCTATCTATCTATCTATCTATCTATCTATCTATCTATCTATCTATCTATCTATCTATCTATCTATCTATCTATCTATCTATCTATCTATCTATCTATCTATCTATCTATCTATCTATCTATCTATCTATCTATCTATCTATCTATCTATCTATCTATCTATCTATCTATCTATCTATCTATCTATCTATCTATCTATCTATCTATCTATCTATCTATCTATCTATCTATCTATCTATCTATCTATCTATCTATCTATCTATCTATCTATCTATCTATCTATCTATCTATCTATCTATCTATCTATCTATCTATCTATCTATCTATCTATCTATCTATCTATCTATCTATCTATCTATCTATCTATCTATCTATCTATCTATCTATCTATCTATCTATCTATCTATCTATCTATCTATCTATCTATCTATCTATCTATCTATCTATCTATCTATCTATCTATCTATCTATCTATCTATCTATCTATCTATCTATCTATCTATCTATCTATCTATCTATCTATCTATCTATCTATCTATCTATCTATCTATCTATCTATCTATCTATCTATCTATCTATCTATCTATCTATCTATCTATCTATCTATCTATCTATCTATCTATCTATCTATCTATCTATCTATCTATCTATCTATCTATCTATCTATCTATCTATCTATCTATCTATCTATCTATCTATCTATCTATCTATCTATCTATCTATCTATCTATCTATCTATCTATCTATCTATCTATCTATCTATCTATCTATCTATCTATCTATCTATCTATCTATCTATCTATCTATCTATCTATCTATCTATCTATCTATCTATCTATCTATCTATCTATCTATCTATCTATCTATCTATCTATCTATCTATCTATCTATCTATCTATCTATCTATCTATCTATCTATCTATCTATCTATCTATCTATCTATCTATCTATCTATCTATCTATCTATCTATCTATCTATCTATCTATCTATCTATCTATCTATCTATCTATCTATCTATCTATCTATCTATCTATCTATCTATCTATCTATCTATCTATCTATCTATCTATCTATNATATGAAGGTGTGTTTAAGTCTATCTATCTATCTATCTATCTATCTATCTATCTATCTATCTATCTATCTATCTCACACACACCCACCCAACCCACACACACACTCGCTTACACATTCACAAACTAATATAAAAAATAAAATATAAATTATTACTTTTAATTTAGAAACTATAAAATGAAGGTAATCCTAGAAATATATTTTTGGTAATTTAAATTTTAAACAAACAAAAATAAGTTTAATACATGTGTAGTTTTATTACATGTCTCTAAAACAAATACATTCTTATTTATTTAATTTTGACAATTTTAATACAAATTAATAATTTTAAAAATTTTGATAGCTTTTATCAAAATCGCAAACTTTGGTCGGCTTTCGGTTCCGGAGTTTTAGCCATTTATTTGACAAATACCTCAAAGAATTGTATGAATTATACGACAAAAATGAGTTGAAAATAATCACAGATTTTGGACCAAACTTTCAGTTTAATGGCATTCATACTGTTGTCGACGCCATTGAAGTGAGTATTTTATTACACAATTAGTAATTACTAAAAGTTTAAATTTCTAAATTTTAGTATCTACATACTGGTGCCAGTATTGGGAAGGTGCTTGTTAAAATTTAGTTTTGTAAAACAATAACAGAAAAAGTTCTTTATATAAACTGATAAAGGTTTTTACAAATTTGTTTTTAAACAATAAATTAACTTTACAAATCCAAAAAATAATATTAATAGTTTTTAAATATTATGTTTTTATTTACCAATTCGTACTTTTATAAAATACGCTTAAAATATACGTTATAATTGAAAACTGTAACTAATGACACCAAATAACAATAAAAATTAACAATTTATATTATTATTATTCATTGGCGGTTAGGATAGCAATGCACTATCTATTTAATATACATTTATTTTTAATAAAATATTTATCATCAACTTTGTAGATGTAGTAGTAGTAGTATTTTATAAATAAAATAAAACAATTTGTATCAAAATTTAAAAAATCTGTATTTAATGAAAAATTTACATTATTAATGCATAATGAAAGACTATATCTTGTTATATGGCGACACCAGCGCCAACGGAATGTAGGCTAACTAGAGTAACTCCAGTTCCACCTATACTACAGTTCCATCTGTACTACAGTTTTTCCTGTACTCCAAATACCTGTCCTCTAGTTCCTCCAATTAATTAAGTCATTCACGTCTCCCATATGTTTAGGAAAATGGAGTATAAATGTAATGAGAAAATGTTAAGGCTTTTGCTTTTTATGTTGTAATAAAAAACATTTTTAAAAACATTTTCAAAACTGTTTAAAAACGCCGTCAAATAAAACTTGCATTCAATGAATTATTCAATGAAATTCTAGTATATTTCATAAGAAAATAGATATAGAAACCTACATCTTACATAAAGTTAACACTTTATAAATACGTTTAAAATTAATAAAAACCGATCGGGCTTATTCTCCAATGATAAACAACACAATAATAAATTGGTATAATATGTGCTAGGGACAGTTGAAGGGAGCTCTGTACATTAATGTTTTAAAATAATTATCATTGAATGCTTTATTGTTTATTGTATTGATATTTCAACAAACCTTAATCAATATTAATACTGTATTATTAATTAAGTCTACAGAGTTCCCTTCAACATTCCCTAGCACATATTATGTATTTTAAAATTTAATTACTGTTTTATTTATTATTATAACAAAATTGAAGTTATATTTTATTCTATTTATTAAACAAGATTTTAATATATAAAATCAACAACTTATAAACTAATTTAATATGTTGTCATAAAATCTTAAAATATAATCTTATTTTAATATTAAATATGAAATCAATAAACGTATTGTTATTTGTAAATTAAAATCTTTTTTACTAGGTTAAACACCATTTGATGATGAACATTCAAATATTAAACCAATCAGGTTTATGAGACATACTATTTTATATTAAGCAAGGCAATTACAGTCTTGATAAATTACAAATTTTATATAAAATACATATGAATGCTTTCACGGAAAAGAACTCTCTGTTGTAGGCATAAAAACTATATAGCAATACATACACTAACTTTGATTTGTTTTATAAAAAAGGTTTATCACACGAATTTAAACACTTTTCATAACAATTTATTTTATATTTTAATTAATATATATTTCATAATTATTTATCATTAAATTTAGATTGTTAATTAAACATGTATTCATTTTATAAACACTAAATAAGTACAACACTTTGTATAAAACTTTGATTGTGTGTATCCTATGCATTGCTTATGTATTACAGTTTTTTATGCCTACAACAGAAAGTTCTTTTCCGTGAAAGCATTCATATATTACTAATTTTAACAGATCCTTAGGTATCACAAAAGCAAACTAAATAAGTTTAATGTTATCATCAAACATTGTTCAAATTTAATGTTGAAAATAATAAAAAGTATTTTTTAACTGATAAAAGTTTATACCAATTTTTTTAATCAATAATTTTTACAAATCAAAATAATATTAATAATGTTTAAAAATTTTGCTTTTATTTATCATAGTCAAATAATGATTATTTTGTACCTTTATAAAATACGTATAAAATAAACTACTTAATTCAAAACTGTAATCAAAAACCCAAAATCACAATAAACATTAACAATTTATATTTTTACTATTTATTTGAAAAATTAAACTCGTAATTTATTATTGAGTTAGTAAACATTAATTTTTAAATAAAATATTTATCTCCAAAGTAAATGGAAACCAGGGTAAATGTCATAGTATCAAATATCTAATCAGCAATATCTTATGAAAAGGAGGGACAGTTAGCTCATATCATAGGGTCTCCGCATTAAGCTTAGCCTTTAGGTTAAGGAGTTGTAGAGAGAGGTTAGCAGCGGAGGGAGTACTCTATTCGAGTCCCATAGACGGACACCAGAGTATCCCTCGCACTGTCACTCCCCGGACACCTCCTCACAAGTTGAAAGTCGGGAGTGACTACTGGATGATCACCTTTCATCAGGTAAAGTCAGGGCTCCTTAAATAAAATCAAGGAAACCTGGCGATTATTATTTATAAAAACATTTTATTATTTACTCTTTAATTTAAAACTGTAATAAATGACACGAAATAACAATAAACATTAACAATCAATATTTGTTGTTATAAATTGGGATAAGCCCTTGTCTCTGTTGTTTAACTCTTATATTGATCTAGTAAACATTTAATTTTTAATAAAATATTTATCATCAACAGTGATATATTTATACTTTAAATGCATGGTAAATGTCATAGTATCAAATATACCACCAAGTGTTGTTTAGGTAGCACAGGTGATAAAGGTCATATTCAAGGAAACGCTTGAAAATCTGTTATCAATAAAAATCATATATTCCTTACAGTGTTTTTGAACAAGATTATTTATAGTTCAATTATAACAAATATTTATTTATATACAAAAAATAATAAACAGAATTTATTAATTTTCAAGAAATTGATTATTTTAACCAATGAAATATAAAACACATTTGAATTGTTTTAATATCTTGTATTTTAAAAATTAATTACGGTTTCACTTATACTTAATAAGAGAATTTAACTTTTTTATTTTATTTATTAAACAGGGTTTTAATATATAAAATTAACAACTTGTAAATTAATTTAATAAACTGTCATAAAAAATATTTAAAATATTATTTTATATAAATAATATACGTGAAATCAATAAACGGGATGTTTTAAGCTAGTTGATTTTAATTAAAGTTTCTGTTATTTGTAATATAATGCATAACAGATATAATACAAATATTTGAAAATTAACTATAATTTTAGAATAACTTTAATTTTTGTTATTAAAATAATTAATTTTTATAAAATTCTCAATGAATTTCATTCATACACACTAAATACTCTATCAATTAATAAACATAATGGCAAATTTAAACCAGATAGTCAAATAAAAATAATTAACATATGTTTTTAATTAAAATAAAACTTTTAATAGAGATATAAAGTTTTTATTAATTTGCTATTAATCAACAAGTTGACTCTATCAATAATAAAATAATAATGGTTTTCCTTAACGTATTGTACTTTTATAAATTATGTATAAAATATACTGGATAATTTAAAACTGTAATAAATGAAACAAAACAACAAAACATTAACGATTAATATTTTTATAAATTTTTGGTCTTATCTCTTATTTATTTAAATGATTACATGAATTATAACAAATGTACAAATATTACATTTTACTGAAAAATGTCAAAATGTACATATTTTATAGATAACATATTTTTAACCATGTTTATGCACAAGATTAAATACTGTATAGCTCAATGTAAATAATATAATTTGATATAAACATAAAGGTTTATAATATATATTAAATTCTAAAACTATTAAAACATTTATAACAGTCAAAATTATATATAGTATTTTGAAAAACATTTACAGATTTAATCAGGTTTGTTACAAACAATATAAACTTTTATACTTTCCATGGTCATTCAATAACAGATCTTTTTTAAACAAAAATCAAAGTAATAGGAAAACAATAACCGAGACAATTACATAAATAAATAGTGGTTAATTGTTTAATTCAATTAAAGATAAATATTACAGCTAGTAAAAATATTATAAATAAAATATAATACTGATATATAGATTAGATAGATAATTAGTATTTCATTAAAATTATGAAAGTGAACTTCAAATGATTAAATTATCAAATAAACATTAAGTAGGTCACTTATTGAATATGGGAATTCATGCACATGGGTTTTGTACTATAGTTGATTATTTTATTGTATAAATACAAGATTTCATAAAATGTTTAATATACTTTTACAGTACAGTTGCAAAACAATAGTTTATTTTATAATTTAATTGATAATTTCAAAAATTAAAATGTTTTTGGTAGTTATTTTATTAGTTGTAATGCAACATACAAACGGAAAACATGTTGCCCATAATTTACAAATTACCGCGGCGGTATTTATGATCATGATTATATTACAATTAATTATAAATCAATAAGTTTATTTCAAAAATAACTAAATAATTCTCATTTATTTTAATTTATCAAAATAATTCATATATTAAAACATAATAATTTTCTAAATCAATAACACCAGGGTCAGCATATACTGGACCATATAGACGAGGCTCGCATATCGGACTATACCATACAATATCTGTTTAACGTCCCGACGGCTACCGCCAAACAAAACGCCCAAAAAATACAAAATGCTTTCCGGAGTCTAACCGAACAGTTCGATGGGAACTCATGCCTACAGCTCCGGGAGGACCAGATGGGTATCGGGCCCACCTCTAACTGCTACGTACTTCTCGGTGGGCAAATTATGCGAGCCGTTGACCTGGGTAATGTGGACGTGGTGATTGGTGAAAGGGCATTTTCGGGTCAAGAGCAATACCATTTGTCGCACCCGTCTATGTACCAGTTTTATCTCGGTCCATTGGTGGTCAGTGTGCTTGAAAATAAGGTATGCCCCAATATGGATGATAATAATTCTACCCAGATCATCGGAGAGTTTGTTAAACAATAAATAAAAATATTTATATGTTAAAAATGCAAAATTTGAGTTTATCAACACGTTGAATAATGATTTTTATTAAATCATCAAGAATAATATTAATAAGATAAAATAAATATTTAATAAACTGTAATTTTAATAAAAATAATTGATAATTTTTATTAAATATTAATACAATGGTCATCATGTTCCTACCAACTTTAATACACATAGATTTAATGATTTAATATTTATTAAGTAATAATATTTTATTAATTAATAATACTAAACTATTTTTTGAATAAATATAATGAATTTTAGGTGAAGTATTTATATTTATAAGAATTTTATTTTAAAACCTTATTAAAATAACAAATTGCTATCTTATTTTATTTATTATTAATATGCTATCAACTACTTAACAATAATTAAATTGATAAATTCATTAAAAGTTAATGTGAGACGTATTTAAATAAAATATTAGGAAATATTATTTATTAAACTGTACACTTTATACATTAAATTGTATTTATATTACTGATTATACTAATATCATATTAAGAGGATAATTTAAAATTTAGACAGTTTTATAATTTTGACTGATACAATTTGGTTTATGGTAATTCGACGAGGATTATCCAAGAATATAAACATTATATAACAATTGATACTATATTTCAGAGACCTTATGAACTCAAAATAAAAACAAGTCTATTTTACACCTGGGTCAATCAATGCACAATAAATGTTATTAATTAAAAAAATGTGCGCTTATACTATTTAATTGGATTGAGATAAACGTTTGTCAATATGTGGTTCAGCAGGGTAATAATATAATATTACAACTTGAAAAATGCAATAATTTAAATCACGAATCATTTTAATTTTGGGAATATCAAAATGCCTAATTTAAAATTTATAAAATTGCTAACTGTAATTAAAATATAAAATTTAAAGTAATTTAGTAATTTCTATTTAACATTAATTAACGACTGTTATATTCAATCCAACATAAAATGAATATTTTTACAAAATTAATTATACCGCAAACATTTATTTACCAGTCTAATAAACATTTTTTATCATGATAGTTGTGTAAAATTTGTAAATTTAAATAAAACAATGTAAATGACATGGGATAAAATTCAGTAATCTAATTGGAAATGAGATATTATTATTGATTTAAAAATTAAATCATATTTTGATGTTAATTATGCTTTTCATTCAAAACATGAATTCCTAATGCGTCGACATACATGGTGTTTAAAATTTATTATATTTCCTTGATGAATATTTTTATTAAATTTATTTCTATATAAAAATATTTTATGATAGTTGTTTGGATTATAAAAGAATATTTCAAATATAACGCACACTGCCCCTAACAGATAACCTAGCACAGTTATTACAAATCCATTACGAAACAATTCACCAAGTTTGATTTTGTGAGATGTATCAACGTTAATGTGACTAGTTGAATTCACTAAATTATCTCTGTCTCCATGGCTGATATCGTAGATTAAATTGATTATTATAATGTGCATGGTGACCAGTCTCCGATAATTGTTTAAAACTATATTTAAATTAAATTCAAATTAGTCAAATTTGTACATATTTTTAACAATGAGTAAATTTTGTAAAAACTACCATACCAAGACAAAAATAAATTTTTTTAAAAATGATATAAAAAATATGATTGAATGTTTTTAATAGCAAATTAAGTGTACGCCTTATAATAGACATTGAACTGAATAATATAATTTTATAAATTGAATATTTATAATGAGTAATGTATTATTTAATTTATTGTTAATGTTTTTTTACAGATTTTAAATAAACTCATTTTTGAATGATATTATAAAATGCATTCATATGGTTACTGACTAATTCGTAAATATACTCTTACATGCTAGATTTATTTATAATCTAAGTGGGGAACATCGTGTTCTGTCAGTAAATCATGCAATTAGAATGGGTATTAAAACAAACTATATATCCCTATCCACAAATTGAATTGATCAAAATCGGCAAATATCATGAGCTAGTCCCGTAAATCCAGTTATAAACATATTGACATAGTGATT